GGCTTAGCGTGGAAAAGCTTACGCAAAGACTATGTAAATAAGAAATATATAGCTAAGAATCAGTAATGGCTAATGCAAGGCTGTATCCTCTCTTTGCTTTTTCATGAATAGAATTCTAACTTCTACCCATCCTTATTTCTTCTCCTGTCTTCACAGAGCACATCCTTATTTCCACTGCTACTACGTTCTCCTTTCCAAACATACAAGGATTCCCCAGTCACCCTTGCCAGATCACCATTCCAGCATAAGGACAAGGCTGCAAGTGCCAAAAGGAAGCATCCAAGACAAAGTCTACCATTTCCCCACTCCCATCTAAAATATATATTAATTAAAAAAAACTCCCTTCTCCAAACAACATAGTTAGTTGCCACCTTAAAATCCTTAAGGATATGAAAATTCACCAGTAAAATTACACAGAATTGCAAGGCCAGAATCCAGAAAGCAAGTCTGATCTACCTACATGTTACCCGAGCATGTTAAATGCATATATCAAGGCGGCACTGCAAAGTAGGTTGGTTAATATTGCTGCAAGAGCCTTAACTTTTATTTCCCTAGGCATATATTCTTTAATTTGACATAGCAGATAATCTTGCCGGTTTAGTAATAAAAACAATAACTGTTCAGTCCACTAAACAGGCTTTGTTTCCCCCTAATTAAGGCAGCCCAAAATAAGAAAATGAGAATCAGCATTCTGCAAAAATAAAAAGCCCTAAATCTAGACTTAATGTTTTAGAAACTAAACCTCATTATTGCTTTTGCTTTCCATACTGCTCACGGAAGTAGACACAGTTTCTGCACCACTACAAGGAAGACACTTTTGAAGACATTCACAGTCAAATGTAGCCCTTTGCCCATGTATGTAAAAGCCTTGGTGATTGCAGTCCATTTGATTCTTTCTAGCAGTAAACATTACTTCTCAAACTTCCAAATCTGGTTTTTATCTGCAGCGCTACAAGTTCTCATTTGCACATCAGGCCGCCCCTCTGTCGTTCGATAAGCACTAAGGCACTTTCCTGACTGAGGATGATAAATAGTCCCGTCGCTTTTGAAATGCCATATAATATTTTCTGGGATAGGAGATCCATCATTTGGGCAGCTCCTCATACCAATGAAATCTTTCTGTTCAGGGACTTCGGCACACAGTTCAGTTACAGAGTTAAATCTAATCTCCTTATTTGATGTGTATTCAAAAAACTGATTTCCTCCTTGGCCATGGCATCCAAAGAGAGACAAGTGAGCTCCAGTGGGATTGTGTTCTGGTAAGGCATAGTCGAGGCATTCTGAGGATATGCCCATGTTGCGGAGAGCACCATGCCAGCCAGGACGATCTTCCGGTACGTGCAACTCTGAAAACACATTCTTTAAGTACCAGTTAAAATCCTTACACTTCAAACGCTCCCTTAGCAGCTTTCTTTCAGATATATCTCCATAGTTTTCTTTCCTTGCTGAAGGATTTCTGTTGTAAAAACGCTCTTTAAACTCATCCATCCACACCTCAGCGGCACGTGCCGTGTTCTGAAGGAAGTTTGGTCGAGCATACGGTGCCCGCTTTGGAAACACATGGCCCACATGGGAGCACGGGTGAATCTCCAGTGTGCCCCCGCACTGCCAAACCCTAAACGAGAGCTCCAAGTTCTCCCCTCCCCAAACATCCATGCCTGTATCATACGTGCCCAGGTACTCAAAATATTTCTTGCTGACAGCAAACAAGCCGCCAGCCATAGTTGGGGACCTGATGGGGTCGGTTTCAGATTTGCGCCTGAGACGCTCGTGCTTTGGCACCGAGTGCCACTGAAACGTCAGCCGCCAGTCGAAGCCCCCGATCATGGGCTCTGTGGTTTGCATGTAGAATTCAAACGTGTTCCAGTCGATGGTGTCAATAACGGGACAAATAACGACGGTCTCGTTCTCGGCGATCCTCTCGAGCAGCGGTTCCAGCCAGCCGGAGACGCACTCGCAGTGGCAGTCGAGAAACGTAAGGACATCACCAGTGGCAAAGGTAGCTCCGATGAGGCGCGCGCGGACCAGGCCCTCCCGCTTGTTGGTTCTAATCAAACGGACCCTTTTCAGGTTGCTGATGTACTTCTCCAGGTCAGCCTTCAGGTACACTTTATCACTCAAGTCGTCCACCAGAATGATCTCCTTCAGC